GTTAATCATGCTCATATCTCTATCGCACTCCAGATAGCTATGGCCACGGATGGGAAAGAAAACTTTTACAAAATATATTCTCCCTTTTTCTGTTGCGAGATGGTGAAGGAATCACAGATCAGTAAAATTTTTATTTTGCCCTGCACATGAGTCACAAAAAATTATAAACGTTCTGACTGCTGTGGAAGAATTCTTAAATGCCGGAGATGGATCCTCATCATTCTTCATTAGGCGCACAGGAGTCCCATCGTTCTTCCACTGTGCCGCCCATTTTCAAACGCGATTATTAGTGGAATCTAATTGGTTTTCCCTAGCCATATTTGGCGGGTTAATAGTTAATGTCACAAGCCAACAGATGCCGGTGAAATCTCGATTCTGACAAAAAATGGACCCTCATCGTTTTTCCACTGTGCCCTTCAATTACTTTTAGGCTAAAGCCCGCGTACTTATACGGTTTGTAGGTTTCCGAGGTTTATCGATGTGTCCACTTTTTTGTAGGGTTCAATTCCTTGGTTACATATAAAGAGCGTGTAAGAATGCCAGCCACATAATATGAGAATTGTGCTTGAGCAGGTCAGCGAGTATTTGGGTCATCTAATTTTTGGAGGAAACAGGGTTGCTTATCGTATATAATACTGGTTGTTTTTTGTTCCTAGCTCGTGTTGGCAGTGGTTGTATTTGTTGGTGTGGAGAAGTAGTGTGCGCGGGCCGATGGCGGAATATTAACTACCCTTCGACTTTTAGAATAGTAATGTCATATGTGTAAAACGTGATGGAGCAAATGATATGTAAATAAGTAGGAATGTATTTTAGGGTGGGTGTCAGTCTGTATGGATTTAGTAACTAATTATGTTGGGGACTGAAATTTCCTAGCTCTTTGTAGCCCCTGTAGCCTAACCTTAGTAGCTGGACGGATAAGATCGAGATCTGACTACCACACAGTGTTGGTTATTCTCGAGTTTTGCACGTAATTTATTGTATAAAAAATGAAATTGCCTGTGGACTGCGAGACTTGATAAGCTCAGCTCTATACTTGCGTGTGCAAATTTGAGCTTATATAATTCAATAAATCTTTGATGTTTTATGCAACTTCTTTGTAAGACAAAGAAAACATATATTGGCTAATTACTACTGTTCTTTGAAATTTACTCATCAGTAAGAATCTTCATTTCCTTGTCCTGATTTTTCACCATTGTGATGTAGATTGTTCTGGAAACATTGTGTTTGGCATAGTTCTAAATATTCCCTATCGCTTTTTTCACATGAAAGACACTGGATGGACAATGGATAATATGCGTCTCTAAAAGTTTCTAATACTCAAGCTTACGGTACACTGTTATTCAAACAGAAAGAAAGAGGAGTATGGAGGAACAGGAGCTGAACATTTTATCTCGTAAGCCCTACACCTTACCTCACCCCTCTTCCTACCACAATCCCAATCCCAATCTCACATGCCAGCCCAAATCCAAGGTGTTATGCGATCCGTACCGATGGATGTAAGGAAACTGTACCAATAACGGAGCCTCAAGTACCAGGTGACCCCTTGACTAAGCAACCTTACACACACCGGAAAGAGGCCTTCCTCTGGTGGGGACCTATAGATCAGTCATACTCGTGGGAATCATATGGATGAACCAAGAGAAATAAACACACTGGGAGAACCTACAAATGCAAAGGAAGACCCCACAAACAAACTTATGGAAATTTAAGAGGGACTCCAAACCTTCTTCAACTCCCATAAACCAAGAATTGGAAGACAATCTCCTCGGGAGGTATTCATAAAAAGACGGAACCTCTCAATGGAGGTGGCGGAGAAGATTGAAAAATTACACCTCAAACCCAAGAAAGTATCAAAGGCTCAGAAGAATGAAATGACAATCGAACGAGCTAAACAAATGCCTATCCTGACAAATCAAATCCCTAATGTTCATTTCTGGACTCCTGCACCGAGGCCGACGACTGCTAACGTTGACCACAAAAAACCGAGGCAGTCGCCAAACAAAAGTGGCAAAAGGGATAGATCATTAGGTAGCACCCCATCATTTATTGGAACTGCTCGTAGGACATATCCCAAAGAAAACAAAATTCGGAGAGGCATTTGGGAACAAGCCATCCCTCAAAAATAGTTGGTGGGGAGAGCAATGAGACATATCAGCAAGTCCTCTAAGCGCTAAAACTAGCCGTAGTGATAGAGGAATACATGGACAAAGAATTAACAGCAAATCAGGGCTGAGTCGTTCATCCTAGCTGAGATCTGACAGCTGTAAAAACTCTCAGCTCAGGAATGGGTACGTTGAAAAAAAGGGCTGTCCTGATAACCTGCAAAAACCATAGTGCCAAGGAATGGTTGGCAACGGTAACTACCATCCACCCTTGGAATGGGCAAACCTCAGGGAAGTGCTTTACAGAGAAATCATAAAACTTACTAGGGTGGCCATGTGGGTGCCGGACCTTCTGGGCACAACGAACACTCCCACTATTGTCGGGTTGAGGAATTCTCAAAACCCAGGTATCAATACCTGGCAATGGAGCGTCATCCGCCGAACAGTAGAAAGCAAAGATCTAACACTAGTGGTAGACATAGATGATGCACCCTTTGGGGCTCTTAGCAAAGCCAATTTAAAATTTTATGTTGGCTTTGCAATGAAACCCCTCAGAGTCATCAGAAAAGCAGTAAAGAATGATGCTGAGGGTGGTTCAAGTTCAATCAAACCTCGAGCATAATAAATCTGCAACACTTACGCTTCAAGTCAATAAGTTATTGATATTGTGTGGCAGTGTCTGGGGAGATATTAAATAGTGACCATCGACACATATGAACATGAAGCCTGCCCATAAAAAGATAATCTGCTAGTGGAATGACAAAATAAGAACACACTAAGAAAGAAAACCTGCCATCTTTGGATTATAGCGAGAAAAACTGGGAATACTGTGGGACACAATAAAATCATAACAGAATACAAGACTGAGACCAAAAAGGCAAAACAAGAATCGTGAAGGAAATATTGCAAAGAAGTTGAAAACTTCACTGAAGCAAGTAGCTTCCACAAAATCCTTCCTAAAGACCCTATAAACTCGGAATTCTAAATCTAAAACGCACAAACACGAAGGGAAAGATAAGAAATGCTAATAAGTACAAACTTTCCGGAATCAACCTGAAAATAAGGGACAATATTGAACCCGTCATAAGCCACAAAGCCTGCAGGGAAGATTTGCAAACTGCCAAAACAGGCATTTTGAAAAAAAATGAATGGGCCATTGACAATTTTAGTCCTTTCAAATCTCCAGAAACAAACGGGATATTTCCAGCACTATAAAAGGAAAAAATAACACTAACCCTCTAATTGTAAAAATATACACAAGCTGCCAGGCAATGGGATACATTCCTAGCACATGGAGAACTGTAAAACTATTTTAGTTACTATAATTTTTCAAATGCAAGATTATTATTTTAAGAATTTATGTTTTCATGTATGAAATGAAAATCATGTAGTCAGACCTACCTAGCTCTATCGATTCGGTTCAATTAAAATATCTAAGTAGGATAATTATTTTATAAATTATATATTAATAGTTGGGTAACATAGTAATGAAAGAAAAGAATTATAAATGCTGACTATTTGTATCTATCCATTTATTTTATAAAAAATTGAAAGTATGTAGGGTTCGAATGCAGGGGTCGCTTAGATTTGAACCCGGGACCTTTATCTTTCAGTGATGACCGCTTTGTCGACTGCTATAGCTTTGCAGCCAGTGCCCATGATTGATAATGCTGATTGAATTTTATAAATAAAACATAATTATCCTGAAAAGTTAACGAAGTTGTACATTTTGAACTTTGGTTTTCCATTAGAATATAAATAAAGGCAAATAGTTAGTACAAAATAAGGTTTGGTGATTAGTGACCGTGAGTAGAAATACTTTGAATATAAAAAATATTTTTTCATTGTATAAATTCACTTTTTTCCACGTCCTACATGTATTTGTTAAATTTAAACAATGTTTTAAATCCCAGGCCCTGAAGATGATCTCAATAAAGATCGAAACGTTGGCACGATAAAGAAAACGTTTTTCTGAAACCAACATCACACCAGACCGGATCTCACGATTTCTGAATAATCATCGTACAAAATAATCCAGATCTTTCATTAAAAAATGAGTTGAACCATAAGGAATTTTACGATAACATAAAAAATAAATTTAAAAAAAGATCACTAGGGGATTTTTTTTAATTGGCTCTAAATATTTATGATTGAAATGGTTAGTAGGTTTGTACGGATTCAAATACATTTGATATTTTTCCTATTTATACACACACTTTCTCCTAAAAATTATTTGGTTTTGTAGTAAAAATAGTTTAATTCATTTTTATTTGACTTTTCATAATCCTCCAATGTCTATAAATTAATACATAATATATATTTCTATTTGATTTAAGTGATTAAATTTTACATTCACCGAAATTCTATCCAATATTAATGGGTTAACTCAGGACTAACTAAATAAAATTGTCTATTAAAAAGACGTGTCACTAAATAATAATAATAATAATATCTGTACGATTTAGTATATTGTTATCCAATTTTAAAATTGCTAAAAATGGATAAAAGTTTCTTTCTGTGTATTTTTTTAAACATCAAAAGTGAACTATACGTCTGTTGTTCACAATGCATTGATTATTTATGTTTGACAGATATTACAAAATGATTATTGTATAATTCCCTAATTAATAATTTCATGCACCGTGTTTTTTACAGCATGAATCCATGTTTTCCTTTCGATTGTTTAACCTTTCGGGTTAAGGTTATGAGTGCACGGTCCTCGATTATAGCCTAGTAATACGAAAGTATAACCTTCGCGTTTAATTTTTTAATCTGTATGTAGTATGTTATAACATTATTAAAATAATGTATAAGTAAATGTATAGGTGAGACAATATCATCTTTACTGGTGGGGAGGGGGTGAGCGGACAATTGTTGGCGAATGTATCCTGTACATACCTTTGACTAGTATCCCTTAAGGTCTCGGGGGTGCGAAAGCACGCACACACACACACACACACTCACACACACGCACCTACAGAGACCGATCACAGATAAGGAAAGGGGTGGGAAAGAGAGAACCCGTGCACGACTCCCTGTGCAGAGAGGGCACCTAACTGAGACTGCCACCCCTCAACTGCACAGAGAGGTGTGTGACGTCATCGCCATGGCAACTCCCCTCTGTTGTCGTAGGAGGAAGGGCGTATGACCTCCTTTATGACCTCCCAGTGTCTCGACGAGCCAGTGGTTGAGTGGATACACCACTTCCCGGGAAGCACCCAGATCGTGCACTGAACGCCAGACCTAGAGATCAATAAAGATCCGGTTACGTCACCGGTCGACGCTAGCGTCACCTTCAACTCGCAGCAGCAACCCCTACGCATTCCACTACCTAACTGTCATCATATTGATTTAGCCCGGTTCCACATTTAGAATTTCGATCTCAACCGACCACCCACCACCCTTGTATCAACTTTGGCTTCGAACGTTCCGCCTCCTCACCCGGTCGAAAATGACGGTGCGGCCCAATGACCTAGATGTTTGAAGCCTCGGGACTGAACTGATCGTCACTCGCCGGCCTCTTGCTAATTACCAAATTATCAGTCAAATTCAACCAGGTGTAAAAAAAATCATCTTTTATACTAAGTTCTTTCATCTCTAGTTCACAAGTCCCTGTCCTTTCCAAAAAGATAGTTCCTACTCACAGTACGTTGTTTTGCAACGATCAGGATTTCGAGCCCTTTAGCTCATCATCAGGTTGAAACTTTCAATCTCCAAAATTCGGATCGTTGCAAAACAACTTACTGTGAGTAGGAACTATCTTTTTGGAAAGGATTGAACACCAACTCACTCCATCATTCGTCATTTCCATAAGTCCCTCTATTTTTCAAGTCTTTCATCTGACGGAGCAAATACGCTTGGTCTCTATATTTGCTTTGCGAGTTATCAATTTGATACGCAATATGACTAAATTCATTCATCCTCGTTTTGCATCAGGTTCCTAAATCCAACATTTTTTTTCCAGCAGTCAGCATCTATGGCCATTATAGGCACCTCGCATATTAACAATTCTCGCATTTTCGAGTAGGGTATTTTGGTACCCCACTCTGTTCGTTACTTGTCACCCGCCCCCTTATAAACTGTTAATTTCCCTCAATTAAAAGAACAGCTTTCACACATATTGATAGGTTACCGAGGTACTCGATATTCCGTCAGTAACCTGTCCTCACTCATAACAACACTAATATTTGGCGGACCGTCATGGTACTGCGCATTCCGACGACGCCCCTCATTTATACACACCTACACTGTTTAAACATATAAACATACACTCCATCCTTGCTAATAAATACATTCATTCCAATAAATACGCTCATCCACTACACACATTCACTATATACAGTTAAAAACAACAGATAAAATCCATCATTCACTCTCCACCAAAAATCCGAGCCGTCGTGGTACTGAATATTCATCGAGCAGCCCATTCTTACTCACAACATTCACTGCAACATTCTCGCCAATAAATACATACATACGAAATCCAAAGTTCTACTAAGGGGATGGATCAATTTTTTTTTCATGCTAGAAAATCTAAACATGGGGGTTAATGTTTACCTACTTGTTAATTTTTATTCATTTGCTTTGTCCATTACCCCCATTCTTTTTTCACCTTCTTTTTCTAATTCTCTATTTTATGTGTGTGCGTGTGAGCGTATATGCATCACCCACGTCCGCACGCAGTGCATAATGGGGGGGACGGCCTCACTATTTCCCTCCAGTTCTTCCGCTCTTCTGTAGCTCTGAGGGTTAGTAGTTTTCATATACTTGGCCTTGTCCCCCACCCTTTCTCAATTATTTCCTTTCATTTCTTTTTCCCTCCTCTTCTTTCTTTTTCTTTTTCCTCGTTTTGGAATTTTGTTTCTTTTTGTTGTTTTGTATTGGGCTAGGCGAATCTGTGTCAGTGTGATTAGAGATTCTTCAAGCGATCTTTCTCAGAACGGGATACGTTGGACTAATTAGTATCGCCTCACTACTAAACCCCACTTCTTGTAGTTTGGGGTGTTCGGATCCTTGGCGACGTGTGTCACCTCACTACCGACTCCCTCTTCCTGAAGAGGAGGGACGTTCGGATGCTTGGTGACCCAGTGCTGCCCCCTCACACGTGGCGAAGTGCCCTAATCCAAGTTTTACAATAAAATAATCATACACACCAATAAAATGTACTAACCTACGTTGTCGGGTTCGGGGGTCATTCCACCGGAGCCCTCCCTTAATATCCCTAATATCGCGGGGTGTGGACTAAAACGCCGATGCCTCACCTCTCAATCATACAAATCCCTACAACTAAACTAAACCTAAATGTGGTTTGTCTGTGGGGTACTCTATAATCTGCCCCAGATCCGACTCCCTAGACGAAACCATTCTCGCAAATAAATATATGCACACGAAAGTAAGATTTTTAAAAAACCACGTGTGAAGAGAGCTAGATATGATTGTATATATTTTTCCTCTTCAGATTCACAACGAGGTTATCAGTATACTCGCTGTTGTGTTTTAATACTCTAATCATCTCTACTAAAAGGCCACACCTGTCACGGTATGGCGCTAGGTTGATGCATTCTTCTACCAAGTGGTGTAGTGTCATCCTAGCGCCACAAAAGGGGCACCTACCTCCGGGGTCTCTTTCCGATAAGGTGTCCGTGTGTTAACCTGGTGTGGCCTATTCTCAGTCTTGTTAGGATGATGGCTTTACTTTTATCCAAATTCTCCGAGACCCACGGGGCTTAACTTCGGTTTAATCGGGTTCAGCTTTTCGGTCATCCCAGACCAGCGGGTTTGCCAGTTGTCCCAGCATGTTCTTCTTAAATAGTTTTTGACATCCGCTGGACTGATATCCGGGCCACTAGGCCTCTCCGCCGCTTCCTTTGCCGCCTTATCGGCCTCCTCATTTCCTTTGAGGCGACATGACCCGGAATCCATAGTATAACAACCTCGCTTCCATTAACTTCTATATCATTTAATTGCTCGTAGAATAATCTAACCAGTGGGTCGAATTTATTCTAGATAGGTGAGACAGCGCTGAGCAAATCTGTACATATCACATAAATCTCTGCTGTGAATATGCTAGCCTTCCTCGGGAGAGAGGCTTTCTTAATATTCTCCCCCGTATATACGGCACAGCCAACTCCCTCGGTGCTCTTTGAACCATCAGTATATAAATATCTCGCACCTGCCAATTCCTCTTTGATGGAGAGGATCAGCTTTGTAAACTTGAGAGGGGGTCTCTTCTTTCTTCTTCATCCGTCATATCGACCCATATGGTTGGCGAGGGGTCGTCCACGGTTCCGTTTTGGCCTCAGTAACCGGAATTATTTTATCTAATTGTACTCCCCTCGAGACTATCAATTCTATTAATCTAACTCCTATCAGTCACATACGGGTTCTCAGCTGCCCATATTCCTCGGCTTTTTCCTCATCAAACAGTATTGTGTAGACGAAATAGGATTGCCCGCCCCATATACTTCCACTGTAATTCAGCATCAGCTGGTTCCTCTTTTCCGTCGGGAGCAGTACTCCACCCTCCACACATAAACTTTTGATGGGGCTTGTTCGGAAAGCCCCAGTAGCCATCCTTATACCAGCGATATATGCTCTATCTAATTTCTTCAATCTGCTTTTCCTTGCCGAGGAGAACACCATGCATCCGTAATTTAATTTTGTACACAACAGCGATTTAAATACGTTAGTTAATATTTCCCTCGTTGCGCCCCATCGAAAATTATTTAGAAATTTCAGTAAATTTAGGATTTTTTTACTCTGGACCGCAGTATGGTTGATATGGTGCTTCCATCTCAATTTGTCATAAAAAATGAAGCCGAGGTATCTTATACTATACGATGCCCTCAGCGTCTCTAACCACCACATCGACCTCTTCTTGTACTTTTCGAGTTATTTCATTGATTTCGTCTCCACTGCAAAGGATTGTAATCGTCGACATAGAAAAGCCTTTGCCAGCGGAGCTTCCAATTTATATGCTATATTGTTTACTGCGATCCCGAATAACGTAAAGAAAGTACCGATCCTTGGGGGATTCCATTCTCCTGCCGATGGTCATCCGATGTCACTGCTTCAATTTTACCTTAAATCGTCGGCTTTCCAAAAAAAGTATTCATTTATTTAAGGATTCTCCCTCGTAACCCCCAGTCATGACATTTTGTCACAATCCCATATCGCCAGGTTGTATCCTAGGCCTTCTGGCCTTCTCTAGAACGAAGGAGACCGCGACACAATGTTGCCTTCTAAGGAATACATCCCGTATCACGGTCTCGAGAAGGCCGGCCTGGTTGACGGCTGAGTGGCCTCTCCTGAACCCCGCCTGGTATGAACTAAATAATCCTTTTGTTTTCAGGTACCACACCAGCCGTCTGTTTATCATACTTTCCAATATCTTTCCCAGGCATGTCGTCAGCGATATGGGTCTATAGCTACTGGGGGCGTTTGGATCTTTTCCTTCTTTTAGGATCGGCACCACGATGACCTCCTTCCAGCTATCCGGGTATTCACCCGCTCCCCACATCTCGTTGTAAAATTATAATAATTTCATTTTAGCGGAACCGAGTAAACTCCTTATAAGTACATTTGGAATGTTGTCACTACCCGGACTTGTATCTTTAGTATTTTTTAATATTGTCTCTACGGCCATTATCAGGTCTAAGTTGACCTGTTCCGTTACGCTTCCTTCAAGGTCCAGTTCATTTCCCAACTCCAGCCGTTCATTAATTTGTTTAAATCTCTCTGAAAATGACCGATCGCTCGAGACATGTACACTCGGCCACTTCTGTGACATCAGTTACCATTGAGTTATTGATTTTAAGGATCGGAACGATAGGTGGCTTGTATTTCCCGGCGATGATGTTAATCCTTCTCCAGACCTCGTGTTCATACCCTTAATTCCTTTTTCATAATTCTGTAGGGAGGCCTGTTTGGCCGCGTGGTAATCCTTCTTTCTTTTGCCTAGATATTTTGAACCTGGTTAAATTTTCCTCCGTCGGATACGTATTAAATCGTCTAAAGGCCCGCTTCTTTTCTTTATTGGCCGCCTTGCACTTATTCCACCAGGGGACCTGTCTGCGTTGTCTAGGTCCCCCGGTCGTAGGTACTGATGTTGTTGCGGCGGCCTTAATCGCGTTTGTAATTTCATTAACGTCAGTGTCTACCTCCCCCGTTAAATCTGGGAGAGTCACTGGCGTTGCATATACACAGCAATCCACAGCAGAGGCGAGAGAGTATTCCTCCTTGCGGACATCCTCTCGCCACCGCTGCTTCTATTTTTTCGTGGAACGTGGAGGCCAGCATTTTTCTGTTTTTTAGCATTGATTCTATCCATCGCAGCAGGTTTTGCCGGTTCCTCACTGCTTGAGCGATGTAACCATTGCTTTGAAAGGAGTAGTGTCATATGCTCCTTCAATGTCCAAGAAGGTTCCCAATGGTATTTCTTGGTTGTTCAGTGAATCTTCTATTTGTATCGTCAATTGATGTAGTGCTGATTCACATGATGTTCCTTTCTAGTAGGCATGTTGATATTTGTGAAGGGGTTTTTCTTTTAGAAAACTGCCCCTTACATGTTTTT